CTCCCCAGCTGCAGGCTCAGGGGAGGGGGAGAGCCACAAGGCTCCAAAACTACCGTCAAGAGGCTTCAAAGAGCTCCACTTTTAAAGTGAGCCGGGGCAAACTCTCAAGTCCCAATGCATTGCAAAGCTGTGTTTAAAAGCCCCGGGAAGCTCAAGTGAAGGAAACAACTGCTTAAGAAGAGAGAGCTGGAGATTTCTAACGTAATTCTTTTGCTAATGTGAATGATTTCAATATTCAAAGTGCCTAAATCCGCTTGTAAAGAAGATGCCAAACTATCTTGGGCACCCCCCCCCTCTTTCTTCTAAGGGCGGTGGGGTGTGAGAGTGTGTGTTTGGCCTCTCTGCGGACCCTCAGAAATGAGGGCCGGGGTGTTGAGAGGGAGGGAGGAAAGGAGGGAAGAGGTTTTCACCAAAATCGCGGTAATAAAACACTAATCACCGCTCCTCGAATAAATATGATAAAAATCAAGTGCTTAGGTTAAAGTTGATCAAAATTGCTCAAGCGTGACCAATGAGCTAAAATCCTGGATAATGACTGCGCGCCCTGACAATCCCCTTCTCCCCCTCGCCCATTTGGGCTCGCAGCTCTGCGCAGCCCCCGTGCTTCTTTCTCCCACGTAACCCCTCGCTCAAAACTTTCTTGCAGATGATCCAAGCAATACAAGTACTAAGGTTTCACCTTTTGGAATTAGAAAAGGTAAGAGCCAGGGAGGTGGGAGCCCTTCCCCCACCCCCCTACCCCCCCTTGACTGTTTGGGACAGCTTGTAAACATGGCCAGAGGAGATAGGGGAAACGCAGTGTGATACTGTAACCTGTGCCACAAGAGCATGTGACACCCGACAGCCATGCTCAGCCCAGCCCGGCGTTTCTTGCTCAGTGTAATTTCAACCGAGTCATTAAATATATATATTATTAACCCCCTTACATCCTTCTTACCCCTTCCCTCACTTGAAGCTCTTTCCTTGACTCGGAAATAATATGTTTAACAAAAGAAGAAATGAAAGCAATCCTGCTTTACTCCAGCCCTGCCAGGCATATTAACCCCAAACAAGCACTAAATGTTTGGAGGAGGCAGGGGGCCCCTGCTCGGCGTGGGGAGGGGGCTGTGCCCTGGGATGAGAACGACTGTTCCCAGAGCCTCAGCGAATATCTTCATTTTACTAGTCCCGGACATATATCCCATCCCGAGTGACTAGTTGTACCTGTCTGGGCTGTATATGTTCCAGAGATACCGCCTAGGTCCAGCTTCCAATGTTTTGATGTTATCATCAAATCGGATTTTCCTCTGCACACTAGACTGAGCCCACCATCTCTCTCTCTAACTTGTTGCTGCGGCAAGTCTCTAGAGAATAATATGTGCTGCAACAATTTCTCTATTGTTTCCTTGCCTTCAACTATTGTGCCCCTTAATTAGAGTTACTTGTGGAGTAGATCAGAGTGTTGTTCTCGCTACCAAAAAAAGTTGCAATGCGATATTTTGCTATTATTGCTACTATCATTCTTGTTACTGTTTTCAGGTTCATGAGTTGTGCGATAACTTCTGCCATCGGTACATTAGTTGTTTGAAAGGAAAAATGCCAATAGACCTCGTTATTGATGAAAGGGATGGCAGCTCCAAATCAGATCATGAAGAACTCTCAGGATCCTCCACAAATTTAGCCGACCACGTAAGTCCTTTTTATTTCTTTATGGCATTTTAAAAGACTTTAACCTGCTTAGAGAACCTGTCCCCGATTTCTTTGTTTTGGTGTTGTTGTTCAATATTAGTATTATTTTTACCTTTTACAAGTTCGAGTTCCATCTTTTCACTTTCTTCCCTCGTGATTTGTAAAGTTGTAAAAATGCAAAAGGTTATTTCTGTTTCCATGTGTAAAGCAGCGAGTTTGCAATGGTTTGTAAAGTTTCCTGATCTAGGCGACCTGAAGAGTTAGCAATTGTCTGTTTGATGTGGTGATCGGTGCTTTCTCTTCTTCTTTGCCAACTCCGTAATCGATGCAGCAATGTAAGAAAATAGAGACAAGAAAGTTAGAGAGAAAGTTTGCTGATTTACCCCCCTCCCCCCTCTCGTGGGGATGACAAGTGATGAGAATTATTGGCAATACTACATTGCATTAAAAAGGGGTTAGCACATTAGAGTTTCCAATGCTTGTGCTTTATAGCAACTTATTGTCAGAATATGGACTTATTGCCAAACGCCTGAAGCATCTTCATAATAAAAGACAGTAACCTTGATGAAGCAATTATTAACAATGTATTACAGAAAGCTGGAGAGAATTATGATTGAGTAACCGTAGGTTAGCGGTTGATTTTAACACTTGAGGAGTTGGTGAATTCATGTTATGTGTGTAGGACTGAACGTTTCTTGTGCGTGGTAAGGCGAGTGCCTTTGTTTTCCCGGGTTTTGCAAATAATACTTTGGAGCAGATCTTGTGATACTTTAAAATATGTAGACGCAGAGAGACTTCGGGAAGTGAGGGAAAAGATTGCAGCTGGTACCGCAGGAAAGGGAACGAACAGCTATGGTTAAAAAGAGTGGGTGTGAACTCTAGTTTATTTATAGGAACGCATCCCTGGGGGGAAAGGGGTTTACACAGTTTTAGATTCAATTGAACTCATAATCTAAATGATATAGTCTAATATTTTAGCGGTTGAAATATTAATTTAACACCCGGTGTGAAGTTAACCATGCTTTCTGCACAAGCGCCTTCCTTTATTTCCTAGTGTGTTAAGAAGAGTAGCTTTAAGCCCAGGGAGAATAAGCCTTCTAGCAGCTTTTGTTTCTTTTGAAAACATGTTGTTTGTATGTGTATTTGATAATTACATTAGACTGAAGCTCAATTGGGAAATAAAATAATAATAAATTCTTCTAAATGTCCCCCTCCCGGCACGGGTTAGTCCTAGAGACCTGAAAATATTTTTGAACTGAAGCCTTAGCTTTCATTTTCTCATTTTTATTTGGTAAACATTGTACGACAAGATTTTTGTGATGTTTTACTTTTTAAATGGATTATTTTGAGAGAGAGAGAGAGAGAGAAAGAGAAAGTATGTAGCTGTCCCTGAAAGTTTCTCTGCTTATCAGTTATCTCATCTGTGGATAATAAACTCTATGAGGCATGACACTATTTTAAAAATATTTGTTTTATGGCATTTTCCAACCCTAAATTTGTAGGTGTAAATATTAAAGGGGTGTACTAGAAAAGGAATTTAAATGAGTGGCAACCTGAAATACGTAAGCTCATTGCGTGTATAGTTCAGATCAATACAAAAAAGTATATTTTTCTCCAGTGCAGTTTCTTTGCAAGAGTGTGTTTCAAGTGGAAGTGTAGAAACGGAGCATGCTTATGTTTATATTGAAGAGATTAGATAAACTAGCCTGTTTAGGGTTCTGGCAGATGGCGAATGCTCAAGCCAATTTGCAGTGCTCTATTATAATATTTAAATTCACACACAATGATAGGACAAGGGCGGAGGGGGTTAGCATTTTGATAATTTGATAACTATTATCTTCACTAAGAAGAATCTCCTCTTGCTTTTGTGGCCCAAAAAACAAATTCAAGTAAATATGACAACCCATTTATCTTGCACCCGTTAGGGTTTACCACTTCATTGGGTATTATAATTTAAAGCCTTTTATTTCCTGGAGATTTGAGCTATAACATTTTTACTTTAGCCCCCTGCTATTTGTTTTGAAAGGAAGCAATAATTTGTGCAACCAGAACACCAACTGGGAAATGAAGAGTTGTATCACATAGTTACATTTTATTCATGCGTTTTGGGAAATGTGTCTCCTTATTGGATTTTTTTTTTATATACATTAGCTTGTTTTCCCAACAAAACTTTAACACTGTTTTATAGCTTAGTCAAACTACTGTGTATGTGCATTTAGATTCACGTTGTACTAGGTTGCAGCAAGGAGAAATCGACTTTTATTCATAAAGAAGGGAAAGCCTTAAAAAAATTGTTCATATATAGATGCAAGAGTATAAAGTGAACTATCATTTGTGAGCATCCACCTGAAAATTAAATAGTTCAAGCATGCAAATTTGTCCAATTTGACTCTCCAGGTTTATTTTTTCATTTGCTTTGATATGCATATTTAATATGTAGCCTCAGGCTAGATCTCATTTGGTGAAAGTTGGTGCAGGGGTGATGATGAGCCACTTCAGAAGGACAGAGACAGCATGTTGTTTCCTCTGTTTTATGTATTGGCCCACCATTCTGATCCAGGGATCTTCCCCTCATGGTTTTATTTGCACATGAAATACTAGGAACATTTCAACTGGTTGGCTATGAATAATGACAGCCAAAAAGAAGTGTAGTTTAATTTGTTGTGTGCCAAGGTTTCTCTTGTGGAGGTGACAGTTTGTGACAGCTGCTTGACACCCCCAAAATCCATACACCTTTATTCTTATTAAGTGGTATCAAGCTGCATTATGTGAGTATGTGTGTGTATGTGTGTGCAATGTGTGTTTTATGTGAATGTTGGGGTGGTGGCAGTGACAGTGGCAGCGGCAAACTAAGAACTAATGCAGACCTCTGAGACAGTTTTATTCCTTTGCTAGACCTGAAAATGCAGCTCAAGGAAAAGTAACAGAAAGAAATGTGAGATTAGCCAATATTTACCACAAGACTTTTAAAGTGGGATATTCAGACACTGCCTATTTCCTTTTTCAGTATCCAATACTGTAATATTTATATTACTTAATTGAAAAATAAAAGCAACAGCAACAAAGGAATGAGTTCTTCAAAGATGTACCTATACTGGAAAAGGAGACAGCTGTAAGCAGTTGTGCTATATGTGTTTGGTAGTAAATGTATACGTTGAATTTTACTTTAGTGCACTATTTACTGTTATGTAATACAGTAAGTGTAAAGGGACCAGGGACTTAGTAAATCAAATAGCGCAGTGCAGGCCACAAGAAGCTGAAACTTTTGTTATTACTCTGCTATGTTTAGTAAATATAACAGCCTATAATTAGTGTTTGAATTTTTAACACCCTCATATTTTTTTATTGCTCTGAGGTATTAGCTGTAGATGGGAAGAAGTTAATTACAGCTATGTCCTGGCTGAAACAGATCAGTTAGGAAAAAAAAGAGAGAAAGAGAGAAAGAGAGAAAGTAGGCAAGCAAGCAAGCAAGCAAGCAAGCTTTCCAGCTGCAGTTCAAGTTGAGTTTCCCAGCACAAGCAATTTATTATTGTTCAGTATAAACATGCTGGGCCCTATCCTGCATTCTGCATTCAGCCTGGAATATCTATTCAGACTGCCCACAAATCTTATCTTTTTCTTTCTGACTACACAAATCTGAAAACTGTAATGCTTGTAAAATTTGGAGATTTTTAAACTTTTCAAGCATGTGATAGCATTCGCTACTTTATTTACGTTTCTTTTGTACCTGGCTTCACCCGATGCCACTCAATTCTTCCTTTAGCATAAACCTACTTTGAAGCTTAGTACTTCTCCCGCAGAAATTTATGGATCCCTTCCACCGTCTTTTCTGGGAGCAGTATCAGGGCCTCAGCCTGCTTGATATTTGCTTATATGCTAAAGTCAATTTGCAACTGAGAGGTAATAATATAGAGATCGTTGTTCATAAAATATAATTAAAAATCGATAGAAAAATATATACATCTCTTTTTTATAAAAGGACTGTTGACAGATTAGAAATTTGATGCCTTAGCTGTAGAAGAGAAATATTAGTTTGAGTATTAAACCTTTCAGCTCTCAAATGAGGAGATATTAGACAGGGTTTTTTTGTACTTTTGGACATCAGGACATTTCATATTTCTGTAATATTCCTTACTGAAGACTGATCTATGCAAATTCCTGATGTCTTGCAGATGAGAAAAGAAAGAGTGATATCTATCTCTCCCAGTTATGTAATTAAACCTTTGGTAGGAGTTCACTGACTAATGAGGAAGTGATCACTGGCCCTCTCCTGTACTCTCTAGGTATTCCATACTTCTATGGACTTCAGTGGGAGTTTTGAGTACGCCAGAAATGCATAATCGGACCCCCAGGTGCTTTTTTTCCCTAATATATCAGAAGAGGAAAAAAGTAGCTAACTGAAACAATAATAAGGCAACCTTTTTTTAATAACCAAATTTCTTAGATTGTGGTTTAAAAAACTGGGATATTACCGCAGGCCCTGCACGTTCTCAAGGAGCAAGGAGCATCAGGAACTTCCTGGTAGCGTAGAGAATATTGTACATTTCTTGGTTTTGATGGGCGGTGCTGTTCCAAGTCACTGTACAGTTCAAATTTGACTATTTTGATTTTAAACTGAGCTCCCTTAATCTGAAATGATAACACTGCCTATCTGATGTCAGCGTTCCCTCTTTGGTTTGAGTTGCCTCTCATTCTAGATGAAGTGTAGCCACGCAAAATGAAGTAGAGGGAGAATTAAAAAAAGCAACAAACACCTGATTTTGCAGGTCTCAGTTCTCTACTGACAGGTGGCTTGCATGTCTGATTTCAATTTTAATTGAAAAATACAAAACATATACCTTTAAAAATGTTATCACATTCTAGGAGTGTCAAAAATTCCTCTTGACACTTCTCTCAAATGCGAAGCCTAGGGATAAATATGTCAGAATTAAAAATCGGGTATTTGTAGATATGTAGAAATGTACACAAGTGTCTGATAGATCACAATGCTTTGTCTTTTA